GAGCAGTGAGACGCTTCTTAGGCCTCTGCGCTTATTACCGACGATTCATCGCCAACTTTTCGTCTATTGCGGCGCCTTTGACGCGGCTCACACGAGAAGATGTCCCCTTCCTTTGGAGCGAAAAGGAACAAACAGCATTCAAAGAATTGCACCAACGCCTCCAAACACCTCCGATTCTTGCGCACTTCGACCAGGAAGCACCAACAGCACTTCACACCGACGCAATCAATGTAGGCCTGGGCGCCGTACTGATACAATGGCAAGATAACTGCGAGAAAGTGATAGCCTATGCCAGCAGAGCTCTCTCTCGCACGGAAGAGAACTACTCGACTACCGAGAAAGAGTGCCTCGCCGTGGTTTGGGCGGTTTTCAAATTTCGACCGTATCTGTACGGCCGCTCATTCAAGATTGTCGGTGATCATCACTCGCTTTGCTGGCTCACTAACTTGAAAGACCCACCCGGCCGTTTAGCACGCTGGAGCCTTCGGCTTCAGGAGTTTGATATGACCATTATTTATAAATCAGGGAAGAAGCACACCGACGCAGACTGTCTCTCGCGGTCACCCGTCAAGCCTGCTGCTATTAATGACCAGTCTATGGACGCCGCATTCTTGGGAGTCATCAACGCGACCACTATTTCACAAGAGCAGCGCAGTGACCCTGACCCGCTTTCGCTTATCGACTTCTTAAAAGAACGACGTGAAGACGTGCCGCGAGTTTTTACGAGAGGAGTGCCATCTTTTTTTTTTAAGGAACGACGTCCTATACACGAAAAACTTTTTTCCCACCGGCAGACCATACTTGCTCGTCGTCCCTGCATCGCTGCGAAAAGAAATTCTAGAAGCCTAACATGACGAAGTCACCTCCGGTCATCTCGGTTCACTCGAACATTGTCCTGTCTGGAAAACAGTTACTACTGGCCGAACCTACCTGCTGCTGTGAAAAATCACGTCCAAACATGTGTCGCCTGTCAAAGACGCAAAGCACCACCCGGCAGGCTGGCAGGCTTATTACATTCCGTCCAAGTACCAGCAAAGCCATTCGCCCAAATCGGAATGGATTTCCTGGGCCCATTCCCAACTTCTACCACAGGGAACAGATGGATCATTGTCGCCACCGATTACTTGTCTCGCTACGCAGAAACTAAAGCCATGCCGAGGGCCACAGCAGCAGAAGCGGCTCATTTCTTCATAAAAAACGTCGTCCTTCGGCACGGTGCTCCAACAGTTCTCATCACGGATAGAGGAACTGCGTTCATGGCAGAACTTTTGGAGTCGGTTCTCAGGCTCAGCGGTACAGCTCACCGGAGAACAACGGCGTACCACCCACACACGAACGGACTAACAAGGTGGCTTAATAAGACCCTCGCAGACATGCTCTGCATGTATGTCGACAAAGAACACAAGAACTGGGACGAAATCTTGCCTTATGTGACCTCCGCCTATAATTCCGCCCGGCAGGAAACTACTGGAATGACGCCGTTTAGTTTAATACACGGGCGCGAAGTCACTACAACGTTGGACGCTATGTTGCCGCACGAGTGTGACGACACTCACGCTGACGCCGAAGAATGTGGTCAGCACGCCGAAGAAGCCCGACAGCTAGCCCGCGTGCGTATTTGTCACCAGCAACACAAAGATGCGAAACGATACGACCTACGACGTAAATTGGTAACCTACAAACCAGGCGACAAGGTATGGATCTGGATCCCAATACGCCGACGCGGACTTTCAGAGAAGCTATTACGACGATACTTCGGCCCATATCGAGTCACCCGATGATTGAATGACATCAACTACGAAGTTATTCCCGACGGCGATTTCAGTTCCAGTCGCCGACACCGCTCACCCGAAATCGTGCATGTCATCCGGATGAAACCCTACTTGTCCAGCTAATTCTCGTTTGTCCTGTGGGTGCCGGTGCATATGTGCGTTTTTATAAGTAGAGCGCCTTGGCTGCGCATCGGGACGATGCCATTTTTGGAGGGAGGCAAATGTCACATGTGTCCCGCGAAAAAGACGAAGGCGACAGCGCATACGCGCATCTGCACGCTTTTATGCAGAACGCAAACACGAGAAAGACGAGGAACTCTCTGGCGCGCGCGGTTAATAAAAAGACCGACCCGCTGCTGTTTTCTCTGCGTCTTCAAATACGACCTCTTTCTTAACGTTGCGACAATATGTGGAGTTTAACGTCCCAAAACCACCGTATGATTATGAGAGACGCCGTGGTTGAGGGCTCCGGAAATTTCCACCACCTAGGGTTCTTTAATGTGCACCCAAATCTGAACACACGGGCCTACAACATTACCGCCTCCATCGGAAATGCAGCCGCCGCAGCCGGGATTCGATCCTGCAACCTGCAGGTCAGCAGCCGAATACCATAGCCACTAGACCACCGCGGCGGGGCTTGAGTGTCTGGAGAAGCGTCTGCTTGAGTGCAGATAACAATTTGGGCGACATCCGATCCTTCCGAGCAGTTCGCTGCAGTTCGCTGAACCACCACCTCGTTTGGACAGCAAAGTAGTCTGCATCGTGCTTGTCTATGATGCGGTCTTATTGAAGTTGTCTATTTCACCGGCTACGTGAGAATTAGAATCGGACTTAAGATGGCCGCCGTCCACTTAGCTTTCTATTTAGCCATCTACGGCGAGTATTGTGTAGAGATTTAGCCATCTACGGCGAGTATTGTGTAGAGAGGAAGAAGATTGTGTCTTGTACAAGAAAACAATAAAACAAATTTTGAAAATTGAAATTGAAATTGAATTATGCGCCACAGTGGGTCACGCCTTTAGCGAGAGGTGTCGAGCGCGAGCTGTTGCTCCGAGCGCTGTGATTCCTTTGCCGGTTGCTGCCGCCCGCTTTCCGCACATAATCTTCTTCCTCTCTACAATTAGAACACACACTTTGAAACGAGGCAGTGTGAGCAACGCTCTGGTCAGTGAACGGTCGGTGAACGGTCAAATCCACTGCAACAAAACTCATAGCAGTAGGCTAATTAAAGCAGCGGCTGGATTTAATGGTGCTGTTACTAAAAATGAATTATCATTCCTGAACGCTTTGTATTAGATGCACAGTGGTAGATTTCTGCACACCACATGAACAATCAACGAAAAAAAAAAGGCATACAAAAGCGGCAGCAGCAAAGACAGTACTAATTCTTATGTGAATTTTTTATAGGTCTTTTCGGGTGGTGTGTGCGAATTTTCTATTACGCATCTGAACCAAGTAGCCCGTCTTTTCATTTTATTTAAGTGTATGCGTCGATAAACTACCCATTCGTTCCGCAATCCAGATGACGCGACGCCTGGCTCGATTCCATGCGTCTACCACGCAACATTTTTAAGCGCATTCATAGATCTTTCTGCAGCACTGGACTCGACATTAAGCTTGAAAAACACCACTGCGTCACGTGATTATTGTACGTACACATCATCTCTTAGTGTTTTCACCATTATCTTCAGCACTCATTTTTCTCCTTTTTACTTTTGTTTCGTTTAGGGTAGCAGGTCAGAGCGCCCGCGGTCAGGCCATGGCCTACGTCTCACCTTCTTCTAATTCGCTCTATCTGCACGTGCTGACGCTACTCCACGAGCTATATCACACCTGCACAACAATTCGTTTTCCTCCTTTAGCCAAAAAAGTTTCAAGCCCTGGCGTAGACCTGACTGAAAAGCCCAGGTTCGCGTACGGCTAAGACTCATGCACAATATTAACGCGATAGCGTTACGGAGCTCGTTTCGCAGAAATTCCGGCCTCGACGTCTTGGTTGTGAGCGAAAAATGATCATCTTATGCGTGACCGAGAAGTCGAGAATGATGCGAATAAAATAAATGATAAGAAGATCCTTGGTGATAGTGGGGACTGTACCTGGGTCTTTCGGGTCTGAGTGGGGATCGAGCCCGGGTCGTTTGCCTGGCAAGCGGATGTTCCACCACACGGCCACGCGTCTTCTTGTGAATAGTGAGAACTCCCTCTGCTTGGAAATGCAATGAAAGTCGCTTTCCTGCTTCACAAACACATGCACCCTGTATACATGCTTCACAATGCAACAGGAAATGCTGCAGTAACAATGCGTGGAAAGAGCGCCCATTCCCAGCGGGTGTCAGAACATGTGATTACCATAATGGCTTCGCCGTTTAAAGCAGGTCCCTCATTACATAAGGCGCACACGCTGTTGTGCCTATTATCTGAAAAGCACGTGGTGGTTGCATAGCAAGTTCCAAAAAGTTTGATGCACTAATTGTTTGAAGTATGCACTAGGAACCTGACATCGCTATCTCGTTCAACTCCTAAAGGCAAAGCTTTAGGATCCCCTTAGGTTTTTGTTCACCACTGTAATGACTCTGACATCGCCACCGAAACTTGCCCGAAATTGGTTCATTCCAAGTTGCTCCCCTAAAGAAAATCTCTCGCGATTTTGTCGGCATTCTTTGGTTTGGCCATGCCATCGCTTATTTCAGCCTTATCCATAACATCAGCACAAGATTTCGAAGGGCGGCTAAATCTACACGTCTTTATCTGCATACGTCTCCTATGACACAGGAGTATCATCATTGTCACCGATTTCCGAACAAGCCTTCACCCTTCCGACATCTATACACGTATATCACGGACCTCATGCACAGTTTGTATAAGGTTTCATGCATATTTATCCCGCAATAATAGCATTGTAGACTTGCGTTGAATAACCGAACATAATTGTATACGCCCATCCTTTGCACGTTATGAAAACAAACGAGTGAATCACCTTTAACCGTATACACGGTTAAGCATAGACGAGAACTTGTATAACATAGACTTCAACGTGTACGTATGTGAAACATGTACTGCAACTTTTGAACTAATAAGTGAGTAGATATCTTTATTGTAAATGAAAACTTTTTGTGAACATGTGTATAAAAACAAAAAGATAGAAACCTGCATCAACAACTGCATGCAAAAATTCACTGACAAAGCATGAAAAAAGTGTCCCTTCAGTACTTCATTTAGGCCTCGTAGATGAACCCACTGCTCAACTTGCTTCGTTAGGAACAAGAGGGTGTCTTTTCAGTACTTCATGTATGCCTTATAGATGAACTCGCTGCTGAAATTGCTTCGTTCCTGCTCCATAAGGAACAACACGTCCCGCGTGCTGACCCGCTTCACCCTGGGCCTGTACATTTGAGCATGAAAAGGCTGTTTTCCAGACCCTCCTCCCGGTGCCACGAGAGGTACGGGTCGCTTCCGGCTCCCAATGGCAAGGAGCGCCGTGATGTTGGCCTCTCGTTGTCTCGCCTCTTCCAACTCGGCCTTTTGCAGGTCTCGAGCTCGCTGCTTCAGCTCGAGCTGCTCGGGGTCTTCAGCCTTCGCTCGGCTACGCGCTGCTCTAAGCAGAAGCTCACGCTCATCTTCCTCGTGCCGCCGATTCTCGGCCCGCTCCAGTTCCCCCAAGAAGCGCAGCTGCCGACGAACGTCCTGGGTGACCTCGTGGTGCGGGTCGCAGCGCATGTTCTCCTGGCGATGCTCCGTGATCACGCTCAGCTTCTCGATGAATGTCTTCAGGCGCTCCTGAGTGGCATGGGACACCAAAGCCACGACGTCGTCCGGCACCTCGTCAATGCCGTGGACCGCGGCCAGGGCACTGATCCTCTTGCGCAGCGCGTCGGCGAAGAGAAAGTTCTCGTCCTTGCAAGAGCGGGCCTCCGCATCATCGTCACTAGGGGAAAGATTCGCCTGACATTCCTCGTCCACGTCGACTCCTCCCATAGTGGGCACGTCATTGATGTCTTCGTCAATCAGCGCTGGTCCTGCGGGTCGTTTTTTTTCGTCGTGGCTCGTCCCTGCGCCTCCGGCGCAGACGCTTCCGGTAGACGTAGACAGAGAAACCTTCGGCTGCGCCGCCGTCGACACGGGAGCCGGTACCTTGAAAGGTAATACACCACCAGCGGCCGGCGAAAGAGCGGCAGCAATGTTGGGCGGCCTGGCCAGCAGCAGACTCTTGCCGCCTCCTGATGCGATGCCGCCGCCGGCAGGAGAAGGACGCACAGATGCAGCGACACGGTGTTGCTGGGCGAGCAGGCCCTGTAGATCGACAGGAGTGGCCATTTGACCGGTGGTAAGGGCGCTCTGAGGCATAATGTGAAGCTGCGCGGCGGCGGCACCTGACAACACGGACCTTGCGACAGGGGTCTTTTGTACGCTATGCACGATGGGCGGAGAAGGAGACGCGATACAGAGGGCGCTTCGCGGTGGAGGCCGAATGCCTTCGATGGAAAGTTCATTGGTCAGGAGTGCGTGTCTCAGTAAAGGAAGACTTTTGCGCAAAAAGGGAATCAGACATGGTTGAGGGTTCGAGCACAGTTCTCTTTCTAACTTGGTGGTGAACTCTTCCGGTTGCATCGTGTCGTCGACAAGTCCCTGAATCAGTCGCTTCACGTTCATGGCTGTATTCTCAGGCTGGTCACTCGCGAGACGCATGAGCGTTGAGAAGAAGTTCCTACACTTCTGTTTCGCCATGTCCGAGGACATCTGTGGCGCGTTGGCGGCGGCCTCTTGAGAGCCTACTGCCATGGGGTTTGTCTGAATGGACAGCTGTTGGGTGGCAGCGGCGACGGTAGGAACTATTTTGACGCCCATGGACTGCGGCGGTGGCATGATCTGTGCCTGCGAGACGCAGACGATGCCAGCTGGTGTTAATGCCAAGCCGGGAGGCCGATTTGTAATGTTTGCGGCTGCGGTAGCGTACCGGACTGGCATCTGTTGCATCACCCTCTGTGGTCGTTGTGCTGGTGCTAGGGCTGGTGGGGCAGGCACCCGAAATGGTCCTCGGCTTGCCACTGGACTGGGTGATAAGGGTCGCATGGTGTTACGATGCACGTTGACAAACTGGAGTTTGCCGTCACTGGTCTTAAATACTACTGCGCCCTGCATGATGCCCGTCCGCAAGGCAACGGCATTTGACTGAGCGATGTTGGCGCGCGCCGGTCCAGGTCTGGGGATGATCGGCTGGATGTTACGCGGCTGCCGTACTGAGCTGCCTACCACCATCCTTGGTGCGCGGAGTCTTGTCCCAGGTACTGCAGCGTTGTAAGGATTCATGGCCAGCTGTGACAAACGGAAGGCTTAGATGAAAGCTTGAACTTACTTTAGTAATGGGGATCAAATTTGTAGCTTACGACACTGCGCTCTGTACATCACTCCAGCTAAATCTGCAGTCAAAGAAACATCTACATTTGCAAAACGTAAGTGATAAAGATTCACTGAGAAATGCACTGCTCGTGGTGCTGCTCTACACACAATTTTGCGCCTATAGCAAGTGAATTTCTTTCAGTACCACCATGTAATGCATAAAAAAGGCCTTTAGGAAGTTTCAACGACGACGCCGACAACAAAACATTTGAGATTGCTACTAATATTGGCGCGAATAGCTTATAGTAGGCATCAATAGAAACCAAAGCAGCAATACGCAGTGGCCTCTTCTGGTAATATCACATGACAGCACGAAGCTAACCACCCGCTCACGCACGTACTCCTCTATTATATCGAATTACGACTACGGGCGAAACCAATGGGTCCTCTTCCTTAATGTTAAAAAAACTTTCAGAGCAACAGGAGACTTTAATTACATTTGGTTTTGGCCATGACGAAAAGATTTCGAAGCGAAGTATAAGTGAGAACTGGGTGTCAGAAACCAAAATTAAATTCCTTTAGTCGCATCCTTTCGTTAGCTTACCGTCATTACTCAGACGATTAGCGTTGATCGAAAGACTACAAGTCGGCATTGAAAAAGTCTTTGCTCATTAATAAGCAATAGAGATATACAAAGCAATTCGAAGGAAGTGAATAGACGTTGCAAAGTATTATCGCCGAGTATCAATGACTGTTCGCTATACTGACTCAAAGATTACACGATCTTCTCGAAACCAATGGCCTAATGAACTACAGAAGGAACGCTCTGGCGTCACGTCTAACACTTACCTGTAGCCAATCTTCGAGCCACCTCCGAGTTTGGGACCCGGCGTTCCAAGAACTCTCGCGAGAAGCGAAGGCTTAAACCACCTGCCGCGACCAGCTCACCGATGGGTTCGAGTCGAAGAGGCACCGCTGGAATCATCTGCCAGACAACGGCGTTGCACGGGGGCCCACCTAGGCACGCTTCGAAGGCCGAGGCACGTTAGCCACGTGAATACGTGAACCAAAGTGCGATCGAGCGAGCCCCGCGCTAGATGCACGTGACCGAATTGAACGTCTTCTTCCACGCTTCATCTTGACTCTTGAGAATAAAGAACTCGAGTGCGTTGCATGAAAACAAGACATCGAGGCGACGGAAAGAGGTATCTCAAGACTTACCCGCGTATTCAGAAACACTCCTTGAGTTGAACTTGACTTACCACCACCTTCAATGCAGCGCGTTTGGGCGTTTGCGCTGCCTTGGCACTGCTAAAGCACTAAAGCAGCGCGTTCGAAACGTGTTTGTGCTGCATTGAAGGCGACGACAAGTCAAGTTCAACTCCAGGAGCGTTTCTGAATACGATGGCTAGACGCTCTAACATAGAAACAGATTCTTAGCAAATCAGCCGTAAGAGCGTGGGTCGTCAAAAGTCTTTTGCATCCCAAGCAACGCCTCCTCTAGAAAGAAGCCTGTGACTTGAGCCGAAAAGCTGGTTCCCGGCCCTCTCCTGTTCTCTCCTCCTCCGCTACAGAAACAGTGTCGGCGTTGAGCGCTCGCTGCGGCGGCCACTTTAAACCTTGCCGCCTATGAGAATAAAGCATTGTCTATTGCCGTCTCGGAGGCAACACAGCCGTGTGTCTGTGATGGCGTCACTTCCCAACGAACGGAAGTAGCAGTGTAGGTTTCAAGCGGTCCTTGCGGAGAAAGCACTGTACTACGAGGAACCTCCCATCCCCACAGAAACGCGTGCGATGTCACAGCCATCTTTCTAGAAGAGACGTTGTCACAAGCACCACGTTGTCGAAACGCGCAATGCCCTCGCCCCTAAGCCACTTTGAAAGCTTTATTTCTTTACTTTTCGTGTTTTCTGTTGTTGTGCCGGTTAGGTAATTCCGTTAAAGAAGAAACAATCACGCCAAACATCTACCTACTTGTTTTTATATTGAGACAATGAACTTCTGCGAGGGCCCAGTGCGACCAAAACGCCCAGTCATAACAAACTAAGAAAAAATAGATACATGCCGAAGTATACGTGCCATTCCCCAGGCGCTGCCTATGCTTTCGCACATTTCCTCCTTAGTAGGGTAAAACGGCAGATTTAGAATAATATGCAACCTGTGTTCTCGCACAATAAACACTTCCATGCTTACTGCACAGAACGCGCACGGGCTCGTGAAGACTCACCTTTTCTTTTTTTTTTTTCGCGCTCTTCGAGCAAACAGCGGCGGAGTCCGCGTTGTACGAGGAAGCGAAGAAAGCGTGGAAGAGAAACAGGATGTCTAAGGTTTCGCATCCGCCACTCTTCGCTAGCAGAGGCAAACTGAGCGCATCGGAGCACTCCACTCTTCGCACTACTCGTACACGAAAAGCGTCGCAGCGGCCTGCGAGTGAAACCGCCTTATTGCTTACGTGAAAGGCATGACTCTAAGCCTTTGCTTGAGCACGGTATTGCTTTGTATCCACAGGCGTATCAGGGGCAAGGAGGGCGCTAGCCCCCCCACTAAGAAAAGTTGGGCGGGGAGGCTGAGTCCCCCCACTTTCGAACAGTGGTCACTGTCAGCTGCACGCTGGGGAAAACAACAACTAAGGCGAAATTTTCCTTCACCACTGTAATCACTCAATTATATTGTTACGAAGGAAAAGGAAAATATTACGATGAAAAGTTACAACGTAGCTGATAATTTTCCAACATTTCAGCTGGTGACCATTTCTTTGAGGGCTCTTTGCGACGCTTTCCGCCCTGTGCTGCAGGCACAGCAGCGCAGGCTGGCGCTGAACAGGGGCCCTGTATTATTACATCCCTTGTTCATGTTTTTATTATGCTGCGACTGTCGATGTAGTTATAGATGGGAACGAAAAAAAGAAAACTTTTTATGGACCAGTCAAAGCATTTGATGCTTCACGAAAATCATTTTCTTTCATCGAAAAGCATTACCATCTGTCACAGAACGAGCGCAAAACAAGAGCGCGCCGCCAAATCCTTGCGACAACGGGCGGCAGAAACGCCGCGAGGTAAAAAGAAAAAAAAAAGAAAGCAAACATCCAGGGCTCCCGGGCGCGCGCTCTCCCCGCAGAAGCACGGCTTCGCAGACGATCCTCCTCACCCCACTTCGGCGGCCCAGCAAGCCCGCGATTTTTCCAGAACGAAGGGGGCGGGGCCATACCGAGTTGACTCACCGGCCGGAGAGGGCATTCCAACTGTCTCGCCCTCTTCCCAGCTTTCGCCGCGTATCGCGCCGACGAAATGACCAGAAATTTCTGGAAGGTGGCGCGGAAGGTATTTAATCGAGCGGCCGAGACGACAGAACAGGAGGTGACGGAAGTTAACGCCAGAGCGCGTAGGGATTCCGCCGTGTAGTCGGCGAAGGTTTCGTTAGTAGTGACAGAACAGGAGGAGACGGAAGTGAGCGCCAGAGTGCGTAGAGAGTCCGCCGTGTAGTCGGCGAAGTTTTTGGTCCGTAGGGACGGCTCGAGCTACAGGCAAGAGCGTGGGTTTACCGCTATCGAGCGAAGACGCGCGCAACAGCTGCGTGTGTGAAGCCGACGGATTTCCGGCGAAGAAGTTTGAAGCTTGGAGAGTGGCCATTTGAGGACGCGAGGTTTCCTGGAAGAGAAACTTCGAGAACTACGGAACGACAACAACGCTGGACTTTGAGTGAGTGATTCTCGGAAGAGTATCATTCAGACTTTTGTTCCAAGGACTTTGGACTGAATAGGTTTATATCTCTTTAGTCTTTAAGTGTCTTGGTTGTTCAATGCATGCGACTGCATTGTAGTGCGTATTGTTGTCTGTGTCCGTTGTTTCAAGTGTGGTTGATTGTACTGTGTAGTACATTGTCTGTTTGGTGACGTATTGTATGTAACTATTGTGGAGTGTGCATACGTGTGTATTGTTTTTGATCTGCCGTTAATGAGAATATAATTTTGTTTGTTTATCAACTCTCGGCTCTGTCTTATTCTTTGGGCCACAGCCGGCGTCCGCTGGCGCACCAATAAGGACCACTTCTAAATTGTCCACGCTTTCGTGGTGCGGTTCGGGGGGCCGATACTTCGGCTCTTGGAATTAGCCCGGCGATCGCCTCCCTAATAAACGGGACAGGTGTGACAATTAATCTGGCGTCCGCGAAACAGGACCTTTTGGTGCACAGTGTGTCCAAAGTAGTGAGAAAGAGCCTCGAGTTGTTGATAGTGCTATCGGAACGATTTTGTGTGTTGTTCAGTGTTCTCGTTAACGAGTGCAGGGGAGTGCTCCGATAGACTGATCTAGGCAGATACTTTTTGCACGCGGCAAGGTTTATTTGCGAGACACCATGGATCTCGAAAAGTTAGTTGCTCTTGGTGAAAAGATGGGTCTTTCTGGCGCCGAACTACGGAAGTGGGTCACCCAGAAGGAAAAAGAAGAAAAAGAGAGAGCCAAAGAAGAAAAAGCAGCCGAGCTGGAAAGAGAGAGGTTGGCGGCAGAGAGGGCGAAGGAAGAAAGAGAGCAGCAGTTGAAGTTGGAGTTGGAGAGAGAAAAGCTTGCAGCTGAAAGGGCGAAAGAAGAAAGAGAGCAGCAATTGAAGTTGGAGCTGGAGAGAGAGAAGTTGGCAGCCGAAAGGGCGAGAGAAGAAAGAGAAGCGGAGATGGCTGAAAGGGAGCGGCAGCGGCAGCACGAGATGGAACTCGAGCGGCTCCGTTTGCAACAGCGAAGTGAAACTCCCGTCCAAGCTAGAGTTGAAAGCAGCGAACGGGAAGATCACGGCTTCCGCTTGAACCCAAGCAAGCTGCTCGTAGCGTTTGATGAAAGGAAGGACGACCTTGACGCGTACCTCCACCGATTTGAGACGATTGCGAAGAGCCAGAATTGGCCGGAACATCAATGGGCAACTGCTTTGAGTACTTGCTTGAGTGGTGAAGCGCTCAGTGTGTACGGTAGGCTGACGCCGAC